ACTACTGGTACTCTGTAAATAAAAGGCAATTGCCCTTTAGAGAAACTCGAAACCCTTATAAAATATGGCTTTCAGAGATTATTTTACAACAAACAAGGGTAAATCAAGGTTTGCCTTATTATTATAAATTTTTAGAACTATTCCCCACTGTTAAAGATTTGGCAAGGGCAAGTGAAGAAGATGTTTTAAAAGCTTGGCAGGGTTTAGGATATTATTCAAGGGCTAGAAATCTGCATTTTACCGCTAAGTATATTGCGAATGACCTAGAAGGTAATTTTCCTACTTCTTATTCTGAATTAATAAAATTGAAAGGAGTAGGTGATTATACTGCCTCAGCTATCTCATCTTTTAGTTCTTTAGAAGTCGTTCCAGTACTAGATGGAAATGTATATCGGTTTATTAGTAGGTTATATGGGATAAACACTTTTATAAATACTCCTAAGGCTCTAAAAGAGTTTAAAGAAGTATTAAATACTTTAATTGATGAAGATAGGCCAGACCTTTTTAATCAAGGAATTATCGAGTTTGGAGCTCTTCATTGTAAACCAACTTCTCCAGATTGTCTAGGTTGTCCATTTGCTGATAATTGTGTAGCCTTACAAGAAGGTAAGGTAACAGAACTACCAGCCAAGATGAAAAAGAAAAAATCAATAGAAAGATACCTCAATTTTTATTTGATTCACTTACTAGATGACTTTATTTATCTTACTAAAAGAGAAGGAAATGCTATTTGGAAAAACTTATATGAATTCCCCTTTTCTGAATCTAAAGAGCTATTTGATGCTGAATTCTTAGAGAATTCTTTGAGAGAACATGCAGAATTGATTAGAGTGATGGACCCAATAAAACATATCTTGTCTCATCAGAATATTCATGCGAAACTGTTTGTTTTGAAGTTGAAGAGGAATGAATTTTCTCAAAAAAATTGGATTAAAGTCCATTCAAAAGATCTCGCAAACTACCCTATTCATAGATTGATGGAAAAAATGATAGAGCAAACAGAACTCAGACAATAGAAGCTTGTTTAATCAGTGTTTTTGCTTGGTGGTTTTAATTTGATTTAGTAAATTGAATGAATAATTGTAAATTTGAAAAAAAATAAAAGATGGCTGGAGTTAATAAGGTAATATTGGTGGGTAATTTAGGGAAAGATCCTGAGGTGAGGCACTTAGAGAGTGGGGCAGTGGTGGCTAATTTCCCATTGGCTACTTCAGAGACTTACAAAGATAGAAAAACTGGCGAGAGAATAACTCAAACTGAATGGCACAATATTGTGATATGGAGAGGGTTAGCAGAGGTGGCTGAAAAATATTTAAAGAAAGGAAGCTCAGTATATGTGGAAGGGAAGTTGAGAACTAGATCTTGGGACGATAAGGAAGGGAATAAAAGATATACAACAGAAATTGTCGCGGATAATATGACTATGCTAGGAGGTAGAAATGAAGGAGGAGCAGGAGGCAATAATCAGCAAGCTTCAACTGAATCTCAGGCCTCTCCATTTGAAGATAATGATAACGGAGATTTACCGTTTTAATTGAATATAAACTAAAACTATTGCTAATTGGAACCTTCCAGTATTGAGCCTCTCTCGGGGCTCCTATTTGCATTCAATACTATTTCTTTTCCGGTCATCATTGCGATTCTAGTGATGATAGTTTTATTGTTTAGTTCAGCTTTAGTCTCTGGTTCTGAAGTTGCTTTCTTCTCCATTGATGCCAAAGATAGGGAGTCATTAAATAATGAGAAAGACAATAGATCTAATAAGGTCCTTGACCTATTGACTAAGCCCAAAAAACTTTTAGCTACCATTCTGATTGCAAATAACTTTGTAAATATTGCAATTGTGATTCTATCCACTTTTATCATCACAAACGTATGTGATTTTGAAGGTAATAAGGTGCTAGAATTTATAGTAACAGTAGTAGTTGCTACTTTTTTAATCCTAATGGTAGGGGAGGTTATACCTAAAGTATATGCCACCAATAATGGAATAACTTTAGCTAAATTCATGGCTACTCCAATTTTGGTGATTGAAAAGGTGTTCTCACCCCTTAGTAACCTATTAGTAAGAAGTACTTCTTTTATTGATAAGAAAATCAAAAAATCAGCAACAGAAATCTCAGTTAATGATTTAGATCATGCGCTAGAAATTACTGAGATTGAAGGTGTAACCGATGAGGATAAGAAAATATTGGAGGGGATCGTGAAATTTGGGGAAACTGATGTAAAGCAGATTATGAAGTCAAGAGTAGATGTAATAGCTTTTGATGAGACGGTTACTTTCTCTGAGTTGATGCCACAAATTATCGAAAATGGATACTCACGTATCCCTATTTATAAGGAATCCTTTGATAATGTGAGTGGAGTTTTATATGTAAAAGATTTATTGCCTCACCTCGATAATAAAGACTTTGACTGGAAGACTATTTTAAGGGAGCCCTTTTTTGTTCCTGAGAGCAAAAAAATAGATGATCTATTGAGGCAATTTCAAGAATCAAAAATTCACATAGCCATCGTGGTGGATGAGTATGGTGGAACTTCCGGAATTGTTACTTTAGAAGATATCATTGAAGAAATACTAGGTGAGATATCAGATGAGTTTGATGATGACGACCTAGTCTACTCTAAAATAGATGAAAATAACTTTGTATTTGAAGGTAAGATTTCACTAGTTGATATGTACAAAGTATTGGACATTGAAGGAGAGGTTTTTGAATCTGAGAAAGGCGAAGCTGATACTTTAGCAGGATTCTTAATTGAAAAGTCTGGGAAAATTATGAAGAAGAATGAACGAATTAAGTTTGGAGAATATTTATTTGAGGTTGAAGCTGCTGATAAAAGAAGAATAAAACAGGTAAAAATAACTAGAAAACAGGAAGTTAATGAGTAAGAGTTGGATATTTTTTTTAATAGGGATAGCTTTCTTTTATTCCTGTAAGGATGAAAATTATTACCCTAAACCATTAGGGTTTTATAGGATTGGTTTCCCTGAGGCAGTTAAAACCATAGCCTATGAAGGGAATTGTAATTTCACTTATCAATACCCCAGTTTTGCGGTTGTGCAGGATCGTGAAAATTGTAACCAAAATATCTATTTCCCCAGGTTTAATGCGGTGTTGCATATAACAAGTATCGCATTTGATGAGAGTGAGAAAAACAATCTTTTTTATCATTCAGAATATTCAAGAAAACTAGCTTACGAACACCGAATAAAAGCAGATGCAATCAACGAATCAGTCTTTGTAAATGATACAACTAGGGTTTATGGAGTAGCTTATGAGATTGTGGGCAATGTAGCCAGTAACTACCAATTTTTCTTGACTGACAGCACAGAGCATTTTTATAGAGGTTCTCTTTACTTTAATGTAAGGCCTAACATTGATTCTATCAAGCCAGTGTTGGAATACCTCAAAGTCAATATTAATGGTATGATTGAGTCCTTTGATTGGAAATAATTTGCACTTATTGACCTTGTTTATTTGCTAAAAAGGTGTTTTAGAGGTGTTTTTAGCATAAAAACTAAGTACTTATACCTAGTAGTTAAAGATGAGATAATCCCAAAATATCCCTTAACATAGAGATTAAGATTTATATTTTATCCACTTAAACAACTCCTTGTAGGTAACCTTTTTTCCATACATTAAAATTCCTGTTTTATAGATCCTTCCACCTAGCCAGGTCGTTCCAATAAATGTCAGAATTAAGATAGAAATCGAAAGAATTACTTCCCACATTTCTACTGATTCCATCGAAATTCGAATAAGCATAACTACTGGTGATGTTAATGGAATCATCGAAAGCCAGAACATCGCAGGGCCCTCAGGGTTTGTCATAACAGAGAACTGAGCTACATAAAGGCCTAACATTAAAGGAATCATAATTGGCATCAGGAATTGTTGGGTGTCAGTCTCACTATCAACTGCAGCCCCCACCGCTGCATATAAGGCAGAATACATTAGGTATCCTCCAAGGAAATAAATGAGGAATGAAGAAATAAGTGCTAGCCAAGGTAAACTGAATATAGTGTCAATCATATTATTAGTTTGACTTCCTGCTGCCTTCACTAAATCTGTGGAAGTCATTTGAGCTACTGCGTCAGGAGAAGTCTCAATTCCCAACAGTGGAGTGATAATTGTAACTAGAATTCCAGTTAAAATAATCCAAAACAAGAATTGAGTTAACCCTACTAGGCCAATCCCTACAATTTTTCCCATCATGATTTGGAAAGGTTTAACTGAAGATATAATAACTTCAATGATTCGACTAGTCTTTTCTTCAATAACTCCTCTCATTACTTGCATTCCAAATGTCAGGATAAACATAAATATGAGGATAGAGAACCCAAAGCCAACATAAGCAGCGGTCTTAAATTCGGCTTTATTTTCTTTTTCATTTCCAAACTCATCCAAATTAGAAGAGGGAATGGTGGTTAGGCCTACTTTGGTCTTGATTCTTTTGTAAGCTTCCTTGTCGACCTTTTCCATTTCCATGATCAATGTCTCTCTAGCTCCATTAATCAGGTTGTTTATTTTAGTTTCAGTAGGCGAGTTAGGAGCAGACTTATATACCAAGTTTGCCTTGTTATCACTTTGAGCTATTAAGTTCTTAGGTAAATAAACCAAATAATTATAGTCAGACCCTTCTTTTTGAAACGCTTTGATTGCTTCTGTGTAGGAAATTTGAGCGTCAATAAAAGTCAGTTTACCCTTAGTTTCAATTTTCTTATCTTCTCCTAAACTTTTATTACGCTTAATTCTTTCAGCCTTTTCTTGATTCTGAATGGTTTGAATTCCTTCTAACATAACAGTAGTCTCATCAACAACTAGGATTTTATAATCTTCATCTTTAGGAATAGCTAAATAAACAATTGCAGCAAAAAATCCCGCAAATAAAATGGGCCCTAAAATGGTCATTAAAATGAATGATTTCTTTTTAACGCGTGTTAAATATTCTCTTTTTATTATTAAACCTGTCTTACTGTTACTCATGTTTCTGTACTTTTAGCTTACCAATTGGTTGTTTGTTTCTACGACCTCAATAAATATTTCACTCATGGTTGGAATAATCTCATTCACTTGTTTTAATTCTACTTCTTCGTTAATAAGGGTGGAAAGCAAGTTGTTTAAAGAGTTGTTACCAAGTATTTTGACTGTAGCTCGATGGTTTTCATTGTCAAATGATTGTTTGTCAATTAACTCATAGTTTGTCCACAAGGCATTAGCAAAGCCAATCATATTTCCTTTGAAATCTATTTCGTATACATTTTTACTGAATTCTTGTTTAATTTCAGAAACCTTACCGTCCAATACTTTTTTAGAAGAATTAATCAATGCTATGTTGTCGCAAATTTCTTCCACACTTCCCATATTGTGAGTAGACAAAAAGATGGTAGCCCCTTCTTCTTTTAATTGCATAATCTCACTTTTTATTAGGTTCGCATTAATAGGATCAAAACCACTAAAAGGTTCATCCAAAATTAAAATCTTAGGTTTATGAAGGACAGTGGTAATAAATTGAACTTTTTGAGCCATACCTTTTGATAACTCTTCAACTTTTTTGTCCCACCAATTCCCAATTTCAAATTTTTCAAACCACTGTAAGAGCTCTCTTTTAGCATCTCCTTTACTCATTCCTTTGAGTTGGGCTAAATACATGGCTTGTTCTCCAATCTTCATTTTCTTATATAACCCTCTTTCTTCAGGTAAATAACCTATGTCAGAAATATGGGAAGGATTCAGCTTTTCACCATTGATTAAAATGGTTCCGGAATCTTGTGCCGTAATTTGGTTAATAATTCTAATTAGAGAAGTTTTTCCTGCTCCATTTGGTCCAAGTAATCCAAAAATAGATTGTTTTTCTACGCTTAAGCTCACATCGTTGAGTGCGACATGGTTGTGATAGGATTTATGTATATGTTGAGCTTCAAAAATCATAGTGAGTTTATTTGTTGAGTAAAAATAATAAAAGGATTGTTTTTACCATTTAAATAATGTTAAATGGTTGGAATAAATGTTGAAAGGGGACGAAAAAAAAGCACCACTCAACTTGAATGGTGCTTTGTGAAATTAGATACGTCTTTTAGATTAATTGTACTCGGGTAAATAAGCAAATTTCTTAGCGTATTCGAGCATTTGTTCATCAAAGTTTTGATACTCGATCTTAAAATCAGTGATCTCTCCCTCGTCATTCATAACAGGAATAATTTTAGGATTTACAAATCCTCTGTAAGGCTGAATATTTAAAGGCTTAACCCTGTCTAATACTTCTTTGTGAATTTCTTGGTCTACTTTAACTCCATAGTTTTCAACTAAATTTTTTCCCGCTTCAAAATCTCCCTCTGATTTAATTCGTTGAATTTCTTTAAGAAGTTGACCAAACAGGTCTCTTAGCTTAGCATAATCGTTAATCTCAAAATATGTTTTCCCCTCTTTCTTCACTTTAGAAATTACATTTTCTTCTGCTCCCTTCTCAAAAGCCCATGAGGCAACCAATTGTCTGTTTCTCATATGAGCTTCTTCAATGTCAGCGCCTAGGTCTAATCTAGATAATTGGGTCATCATTCCATTTCGGATGTACCCATCGTATTCAGCTTTACCTACATCTAACGTCTCAATTAGTCCTAAATCAACTAACTTTTGATCCATAATGTAATAAAGACCCACTAAATCTGCTCTAGCTTCTTCTAAGGTAGAAGAGTAGTTTTTAAGCGTTTCTTTTGGAGTTTTTACCCCTGGGTTTAATTGTCCAGAAGCATGTCCTACCACTTCGTGAAGAGCAGTATGCATTTTTCCAGCTACTTTTCCATGTGCTTCACTTAATTTTATTTCTTCTTCATCGTGAGCAAATTCTTTCAAAATACCACTACCTCCAGCTTCGTTATAAGCAGAGATGATGTTTCCTAATGAAACTGATTTTGATCCATGAGTCGAACGAATCCAGTTGGCATTAGGCAAGTTTACTCCAATTGGTGTAGAAGGAGAGGCATCACCAGCTTCACCAGCAACGTCAACTACTTTGTAAGAAACTCCTTTTACTTTTTTCTTTTTGTGTTCCGGCATTAAAGGAGCGTTGTCCTCAAACCATTGTACATTTTCAGAAACGACAGACATAATCTCAGTCATTTTGAAATCTTTTAACTCAACCACGGTCTCAAATGAACCAGAGTATCCAAGAGGATCATTATATACTTCAATAAAACTATTGATGTAGTCAATGTCTCCTTCAGTAGCCTCTACCCAAGCAATGTTGTATTCACTCCAGATTTTAAGATCTCCAGATTTATAATATTCAATTAACATCTCAAGTGCATGAGCTTGTTTCACATTTTCTGCAACAGTAACAGCTTTTTCTAACCAGCCTATAATTTCTACTATCGCTTTGTCGTACATTCCACCTTTCTTGTATACCTGTTCGTAGACTTTTCCGTTTTCATCTTTGGCAAGTTTGGAGTTAAGTCCATATTCAACAGGAGTTGGGTTTAAAGTGTCAATAATTGACTTATAATACTCTTCAACTTCGGCTTGTGTCAATTCAGGAGCATACATATTTACAGCAGAAGCATTAACTAAGTCTACATCTTTAGAAAGATTTACTTTTTTAGCATCAAAGGAAGGATCAAAAATTGCTTTTTTTGCTTCGTCATTTAGAGAAGCTCCTACTTTTTCCATAGCCATGTCCAAAAATTCTACGCTAAATTCAGGTTTAAACTTATCGTTAGAATAATGATGGTGGATTCCGTTTGCAAACCAAATCCTTTTTAAATAAGTAGTAAGGTTTTGAAAATCTTCAGAATCTCGGTCTCCAACAAAATCAGTATAGACTTTTTCTAAAGCTCTTTTAATAGCTAAGTTATGTCTGTAATTTTGGTCGTAGATTATTTCTCTACCAGCATATCCAGCCATAGTCAAGTAATAAGCATATTTTTTTTGTTGTAAGCTTAAATTTTCCCAAGAAGGAATTTTATATCGGATGACTTCAATGTCACCAAATTTATCTACTTGATAAGAAAACTCTCCACTGTTGTCGTAATTTACGAGTTCAAAAGAATTTTCTACTTCAGCTTCTACTTTTTTTTCTTCAGCATCGCAAGAATAAAGAAATCCTGCAGTTAATGAAGCTATTAAAATTGATTTTAATTTCATGTTTATACATTTTATTTCGTTCAAAACAAAGATAAGATAATAACTCAATGATACAATAGGTCTTTAGGAGATTCAGTTACAACATAACTCAAAAAAAAACGTTACTTTAGTACTATGTTATTTCAAAGATTTTTCAAACAGCCTAAGCCCAATAAATTTGGATATACCCCTGTGTATTACGATGAACGTAAAATTGATCGTGAACGTAAAATAAAAGAAGCGCAGCAGAAATCATCAGAGAATGGAGAGTATGTTCGTGAAAACATGGATTTCAGAGGTAAGTTTCACAAGGAAGGTAAATTGGCTAGAAATCAGAGTTTAGACAAATTTAGATCGCAAGGATCTACAAGATCAAATAGAACTCTTATCATTGTTGTTTTGGCAATTGCTGCAATTGTTTATATTCAACTCAGATTTTAAGATTCTTTAACTATTTACCTATACAAGATTGATTAATTGATCGTTTTGAAACAAAAACTATCAATTGTATGAACCGAAGAAAATTTCTCAAACGGACCGGAATGGGAATGTTAGGAGCTGGAATTCTCACGGGGTTTTATTCTTGGCAAATAGAGCCTTTTTGGCTGGAGTTTGTTCATGTAAAAATGAAAATTCCCCATTTACCTAAAAAACTTAAAGGACATACCTTAATGCAAATAAGTGACATTCACGTAGGAACCCGTTTTGATTGGGGTTACCTCATCGATTCATTTAAAGAAGCACAAAAATTGAATCCCGATTTTGTGGTATACACCGGTGACTATGTGAGTTACGAAAAGGAAAATGAATTCAAGGATTTGAAAGAAGTAATGAAACATTCTGTTAAAGGAAGTATAGCGACCATTGGGATACTAGGGAATCACGATTACGGAGAGAACTGGGGAGAACCAGAAGTTGCTAATTCCATCCAAACGATCTTAGAAAATACAGGAATTACAGTACTAAGAAATGAAGCAAAAACTTTATCCGGTTTAACGGTTATTGGGATGGATGATTATTGGGGGACTAATTTTAATCCTGAATTAGCCTTGGAACAATATGACAGCAGTAAGGCTAATATTGTTTTGTGCCATAATCCTGATGTCTGTGATGAAGACGTTTGGGGCGGTTATAACAGCTGGATTCTTTCTGGTCATACCCATGGAGGACAAGTAAGACCTCCTTTTTTAACTCCACCAATGTTGCCTGTTAAAAATAAAGAGTATTCATCTGGAAAAATTGACTTAAAGGATGGAAGAATACTTTATATCAATAGAGCTCTAGGTCATTTGTGGCAAATTAGGCTGAATGTAAGACCCGAAATTACAGTGTTCGAGATGATTTGATGTATACTTGCTTATATACTTCTAAGAATATTTATGAAAAGTTTTCAATCTCTTTTCGAGATTTAATGGACAATTTAGTGTAGATATTGTTAATGTGACTTTTTATGGTACTGACGCTTACAAATAAATTATCAGCTATTTCTTTGTTGGATAACTGTTGTTTCATGAGCCCGAAAACTTTTAATTCTTGAGAAGTCAATACTTGTTTGTAATCGATGCTGATTTCACTTTCCTTAGTTTTTTTAAGTAAAACTATAATCAGTGAGATGGCGATTAGAAGTAGTGTTCCTAAAGAAAAAGTAAGTGTTTTATAAATAGAGACTCCAGCCTGAGATTCGAAATAAACATCTTGTTCTAAGTCTTTTTTTAATTGGGATGTATAGGGAGAATTGGGATAGACAACTTCCATTCTTGCTAATAGTTCATGGTAGTAATCAGAAGTTTTCAGGTCTTTCAAATACTGAGTTCGGCTGAAGGAATTTTCTCCCGAATAGATGCCATAAGCATACAATTCCGCAAGGGGTTCATTCATAGAGCTGCTAAAGCTTTTTAATTCTTTGAAATAATTGGTGTAAATGATGTTTCTTTGAGCATCGTTGATCGTTAGGCAATGGTCAGATAAAAGCTCTTCTTGCAGAGAATCTATCTTAGCTAAGTTGTTTTTAGTCTCATTACTAGCCGAATTCAAGGTGCAAAGCATTTGATTTAACCCATTAAGAGGAAAATTAATGGAGTCACAATTGTTGGCTACAAATAATCTAGAGATTTGTGAATCGCACTTGTTAAGAAGGTGCTTGGAGTCATTAATGCTGTTGTTGCAATTGTCTACATATATGTTGTAATATTGATTATAGTCCTTCAGGTAATTTCCAGAAAAAGAAAACCTGTAGTTTGAATCAATTCGAGATTCAGCTATGATGTTTTCAGATAACAAGAGGTTACTCTTTTTATAATCTTCGACTAAAACTAAATATGCTTTCCCGTTTTTAAATTCTTTTGAAACTTCTCCACAAAATGAAAATTGAGAAATTGAAGTAACTTCAAGAATAACCAAAAGAAGAGTAAAAACTAGTCTTAGCATATTTAGTGATTGGAACATAAGCAAATATACACTTTGCTTATTTTTAGCCGATTTTTTAACTAAATGTTAGGTTAATTTTTAGTTATTAGTTAGATGCTTTTGCTGCTTCGTTATCAGACGCTAAGGGAATTACTTTCCCTTTTATTGAGATGACCTTTTCCACTTCTTTGGCGTTTGAATACAGGATTACTTTTTTATTAAAGCTCCCTACGCGATTGGTAGCATACTTCACTTTGATCTCAGCTTTTTCACCTGGTAGAATAGGTTCTTTAGGTGCAGAAGGTACAGTACACCCACAGGAACCTTTTGCTTTTGAAATAATGATAGGAGCATCTCCAACGTTAGTAAAAGTGAACGACCTATACCCATCGGAGTTTTGTTCAATGGTACCGTAATCAATAACTTCGGTTTCGAATTTAAAAATTCCTTGTTTGATTAATTTCATCAGTGAACTTGACAAGGTTGTTTGTGAGAACAATAAAGTTCCAAGAAATAGGCAGGTAATTAATTTGATTTTTTTCATGATATTATGTTTTTGATTAATAATGAAACAAATATCACTCAATGAAGAGTTAATCCTCAATATTAAGGGTTTGAAAAAGGGACTAGTCCTAGGTTGAATATTGATCAAGGGACTACAAACTCTATAAAGAAGATTTTGAAAGCTATTATTTTTTTGGTTTGATTTCAGTAATCATAATTATATGGCTTATGAATTTGTCTCAAATTCAATTACCGAAAAAATGTTGAAACCTTAATTGGTTAATAAAATTCAAAAATAAATCAATATTTTTAGGATACCTTTTTCATTTTCTTCCATTAAGGAGGAAAATAATACTATGAACGACCAGAAATTAATTGAACTACTCAAAGCCGATAAAACGGATAAAGCTTTTTATAAGCTCTATTCGGGGTATCCTAAAGTAGAAAAGCTAATCCTATCCAAAGGAGGTACAAAAGATGATGCACAAGATGTTTTTCAGGAGGCATTGATTATTTTATACAAAAAGGTAACCACTACCGATTTCAATTTAACCTCAAAACTGAGTACTTATTTGTATAGTGTATCCCGTTTTTTGTGGAAAGATCAATTGATAAAGTTAAAGAAGATTCAAGCTACCAATATGGAAGTGGATTTATTGTCAACGGAATTAGATGAACTAGAAAAAATAAAAGAAAATGAGATAAAGCTTAAGCAGGTTGAGACTATCTTGACCACCATCAGTAAAAAGTGTCAAGAGATTCTAGAGTTGTTTTATTATAGGAGTTTTAGCATGAAAGAGATAGCCAAAAAAATGAGCTATACCTCTGAAAGGATTGCCCGTACTCAAAAGTACAAATGCATGGAAAAAGCTAAAAATCAAATCACCCTTTAATAGTAAAACAACATGAGAAATCAATTAGAATATATACAGGTAATAGATAAGTATTTGAGAGGAATACTGTCTGAAGAAGATACTCAAGTTTTTGAGAACCGATTACAAACCGATATGAGGCTTCAACAAGAAGTAGAAAAACAAAAAATACTGATGGAAGCAATAAAAAGACGTGCACTCAAAGCAAGTGTGATAAAAGGAAAGAAAACCTATAGAGCTATAAAATCATTAAAAGTGATTGCGATTTTTGTGGTCTTATCAACAGTAGCAGTTTTTACCGTTTTTAAATATGGAAACTTTAATTCTGAATTCTCATTAGGAGAAGTAAAGGAACTAGGGATAGAAAGTTTACCAATCCAAGGGTTTCAAATTAATACATTAACTGATACCGTTGTTGAAACAGAAAATGGCTTGGTCTTAGTCATTCCTTCCGATGCTTTTGAGACTCAAGAAGGTGATGCAGTATCGGGTTTAATTAATTTTGAAGTGAAAGAAGCTTTTGATGATTATGCTATTATGAAAGCAGGATTAACCACAACTTCGAATGGTGAGTTGCTAGAAACAGGAGGGATGTTTTTTTTAGAAGCAAGGCAAGGCAACAAAGAGTTGAAGTTGAAGCAAGGAAAAGAAATTTTTTCTCAAATCCCAAACCTTCAGCCAGATAAAAACATGATGTTGTTTGATGGAGTAAAGCAAGAAGATGGAATTATAAATTGGGTAAATCCTATGCCTTTTGAAAAAGACTTAGTAACGGTGGATATTACTTCGTTGGATTTTTATCCAGAAGGATACGTAGAAGAATTAGGGCAAACAAAAGAAAAAGTATTGGTAAGAGCTGAGGGAGATTTGCCCAAAAGAAAAATGACTGTCTCTGAAGCAAAACAATTGGGACTGAGATATCCAGAAGTCTGGACTGAGAAATACGCTATAGCACTTGGATTAATTATTAGAGAATATGAGGACAAAATAACGAAAGGAGAAGTCTACAATAAAATAATTTCAGATAGTATTTACTATTCATTTTCTAGGTTGTTTAAATGTGATGATATCCAGATGACAGATACATCTGTAGTTTCTGCAGAAAAGGTAACACGTTTCGTTCGTAGGAATTTTAAATCAGAGCAAATCAAATTAGAGGATGATTCTACAATATTTAAGGATGATGATCCACTACAGGAAGAAAGTGAAGCAGTAGCAACTGAATCGTGTCCAATTCCTTCAGGGATAAATCCAGCTAGGGTAAGAGCTATTTGGGACAAGAAGTTTAACAATACGATTCTTGCAACCAAAGAATTTGAACAACGAATGAGAGTTATTCATGAATCACACCAAGATTGGATATTGGAAATCTATCTTAACAATTTGGACAGACCTTTATGGTTTAGTGATTCTTTAGCTATGAGCTGGGAATTGACTACTAAAAAATTCAGAGCTTTCTATGAAGAGAGAAAAGGAGGAGTAAAAGTAAATAACCGATTGGCAAATAAGTTAACTTCCTATTTTAACAGAAAACACAAAGAGTATACAACCAGTTCTTCGAAAGCTTACGATACTTATCAAACCAAAAGAAATAAACTGAAGCAAGAGTATGAGAATAAAAGAAGTGAGTATTTTCGTGAAGAATATAATAGAAAAGCAAAAATGTTTTTAGAGGAGTATGAAATGAATTTGTGTGATGCTTATCGCCAGTTAGATAAAAAAGGAAATTGTAAAGAAAGGCCTGTCTTAAATCCAAAAAGAGCAGCTAAGCTAACCTCACGAATTAATACATTGGGAGCAAAAAATGTAGATGTGTTTGTAGCGAAAGCAACAAGAGATAGAAAAACGTTGGATTACACTGACCCAAGGTCAGGGAAAAAGGCAGTGATTGAGTATAAGCCCATGAAAATAAAACTGAGTAACACTGAACCATTTGACAAAGTGTTTATGTATCTCCTTCCAAATAACTTGAACAGTTTTAATAGAATGAAAACAACTGACAATCTTAATTTTGAATTCGCTTTAAATGAGTTGTTAAGCTATAAATTAGTGGGAATAGCCTACAGAGAAAAGCAAGCTTATCTAGCTGAAATAGTTTTAGTATCCCCAAAAACCTATACTCTTCATTTGAATCCTGTTTCAGAAGAGGAATTGAAAAAAGTATTGAGTTCTAAGAAAGCGAAGGTAAAACAAGAGATAGAAGCAGATAAAGGTTTTTATCAAGAGGAAATGAACCAGAATAAACAACAGAAAAAGGTAGAAGAAAATGAAAAACTTACGTTAAGAATAGGAAAATTTCTTTTTCCTGCGGTAAGGGAAAGGTGTATTTTGAGGGAAAAAATTAGTTATAACAAATTCTCAAATGAAGGAATAACACCTAAATAAGAGGAATTGTAAAGAAGAAAATGAAACCAGTTAAGTAAATACTTGATTTTAAATCAATAACTCACATAATATTTCGTTGAAAACTTCTAAATAATCCACCAACAATAACCTTGTCAATCAGTTTTGGGAATTGTATTTTTACAAGGAACAAAACTGATTTTTTTAATGTCCAATTTAATAAAACTCTTACCTGATTCAGTTGCCAATCAGATTGCAGCTGGTGAAGTAGTCCAGCGGCCTGCTTCAGCCGTGAAAGAGTTGTTAGAAAACTCAATTGATTCAGGAGCAACTTCCATTCAGTTGATAGTGAAAGATGCAGGAAAAACATTGATTCAAGTAATCGATGATGGATGTGGAATGAGCGAAACAGATGCTCGTATGTGTTTTGAGCGTCATGCTACTTCCAAAATTAAAGGAACTAAGGATTTGTTCAGTATTCGCACCAAAGGATTTAGAGGAGAGGCAATGGCTTCTATTGCGGCTGTAGCCCAAGTAGAAATGAAGACCAAACTTCACAAGGAAGAACTGGGAACAAAAATACAGATTGAAGGGAGTAAGGTATTATTACAAGAACCTGTACAGACTAAAAATGGAACCTCTATTTCCATTAAGAATTTGTTTTTCAACATTCCGGCTAGGCGAAATTTTTTAAAATCTAATCAAGTGGAAGTTCGTCATATCATTGATGAATTTCAACGAGTAGCCTTGACTCATCCTGAAGTGTCCTTCCAGATGAAGCACAATGGAACGGAGACATTTAATTTACCTAAGGGAACTCTCAGACAAAGAATAGTAAACGTATTTGGGAAAAAATTCAATCAGACTCTAGTACCAATTGATGAAAAAACATCCATCCTTAATTTGGCTGGATTTATTGGGAAACCCGACTACGCTAAAAAAACGAGAGGAGAACAGTTTTTCTTCGTTAATAAGCGATTTATTAAAAATGGGTATTTGCATTTTGCAGTGATGCAAGCTTATCAGGATTTAATTCCAGCCAAAAGTTATCCTTCTTATTTTATTTACTTAGAGATGGATCCAGCTAGTATTGATATTAATATTCATCCTACTAAAACGGAAATTAAATTTGAAGATGAAAAGGCTATTTATGCCATTCTTAATTCTGCAGTCAAGCAATCCATTGGAAAATATCAAGTAGCTCCTTCGTTAGATTTTGAACAGGAGACAAGCTTCAATGTAGAGCCTTTTCAAAAAGGCATGGAAGTGAAAGTTCCTCAAATAAAAGTCAATCCGAATTTTAATCCTTTTGACAAAGAAAAAAATAAAGAGTCAGCCTTCTCTCCCTCTTTTTCGGGGGCTTCCTCTAAAGTAGATAGGCGGCAAGCAGATGCTTTGGATACCTTGTATCGAAATACTCCTAGAATGGAATTTGATAAGGATGAAGTTGAACAAGCATCTACTCAAAACTTAATGGAGGTAGAAACGGAAAAGAAAATTTTTCAAATTCATAATCGGTATATTTATTCCCAAATAAAATCAGGATACATACTCATAGACCAGCAGAAAGCGCATGAAAGAATACTCTATGAGAGATTCATTCAATCACTCGAAAACCAATCTAATGCTTCACAACAAGAGTTATTTCCGGTTCACATTGAATTTTCGTCAGCTAATTTTGCTATTTTAAAAGAGATTTGGGAGGAAGTAACAGCCATTGGGTTTGACATTGTTGAGTTTGGAAAGAATACCATCTCAGTAAATGGAATTCCTGCAGACAGTACAGAGTCTGATTATCAGCAGTTATTCGAAAGTATCATCGAACAGTTTAAGAACAACCAAGATCAACTAAACCTAGATACAAGAGAAAATGTAGCCAGAGCAATGGCAAGGAATATGTCAATAAAGAGAGGTAAGGTGTTGTCTCCTACTGAGATTACTCAGTTAACAAATGAATTATTTGCTTGTTCCAATCCAGAATATGCACCTAATGGAAAAAGGACTTTTATTACAGTAACTTTGGATGAATTAGAAAAAAGATTTAAATAAACTTATGCTTAGCAATTTATTAAGAAACATACCCGAAGTAACTAAAAACCTATTATTTATTAATGTTTTGATGTATGTGGGAATTCAGATCTTTCCTCAATTCAGCGAGATGTTATCCCTCCATAATATTGGCAGTCCCTTATTTAAGCCTCATCAACTGGTGACCCACATCTTCATGCATGGAAGCTTAACTCATATTCTGTTCAATATGTTTGCGTTAGTGATGTTTGGAGCTCAGTTAGAAAAAGTATGGGGAGGTAAAAAATTCTTGATTGTCTATTTCGTATCTGCCTTAGGAGCATTGGCTCTTCAACTGGGGTTTAATTATTATAATTATTACTCTTTGGTTAAAGACATGGATCCAGCCACGTTAGATTATTTTGCTCAACAAGCTGAGTTAATTGAATATGGGAGAGAATATCCCGTAGCTTTAATAGAATACTTCCAGTATAATTATGTGGGTATGGTAGGAGCTTCAGGAGCTATAATGGGACTACTAGCAGCCTTTGCTTATTTGTTTCCCAATACAGAACTGATGCTGATTTTTCTGCCAATTCCTATTAAGGCAAAATATTTCATTCCCTTTTATATGTTTGTAGAGTTATTTTTAGGGGTTAATAGATTTGAATGGGATAACATTGCTCATTTTGCTCACCTAGGTGGAGCAATAGCAGGATTCATTTTAGTGTATTTTTGGAACAAAAAAAGAGATAGTTTTTATTAATCATGGATGCCTCTCCCTTTATTATAGAAACCGAAAGACTCAGACTGAGAGAGTTTTTGGAAATAGATGGTGAAGATTGTTTCTGGCTTAATAAGGACCCTGAAGTTATTCAATATACGGGAGATGAACCATTCGCTTCAATTGAGGAAGCTAAAGAGTTTTTGAATCAGTATTCGGAGTATGGAAAAAATGGATTTGGGAGGTGGACAGTGCTTAACAAAGAAGGAGGTAAGTTTTTAGGATGGTGTGGATTAAAGCTTCTAGAGGATGGGAATGTTGATTTAGGATATCGGTTTTATAAAAAATATTGGAATCAAGGCTTTGCAACCGAAGCAGCTAAAGCCTGTTTAGACTATGGGTTTAATACTCTCAATTTAACTCAAATAATAGGGCGGACTGATAAAAAAAATCAGGCTTCAATAAAGGTGTTGGAAAAAATAGGAATGCACTATTGGAAAGAAGATCACTGCAAAGGAATAGAAGATGCCTTGATATATAGAGTGAGTAAAAATCAATTTTTAACCGAATAATTATGATGGAAAAGTTACCAATTTACCTGCCAGTCCTTTTTATAATATGTACTTTATATACACTATTATTGTTATGGGTAGCCTCAAATAAATCAGTGAAAGTGTTGGTGATAAGTATCTTGTGGTTGTTGTTGCAAGGAGTATTGGGTTATTCTTTGTTTTATACAGATACCACCACAGTACCTCCAAAGTTTATTTTAGCATTATTCCCTGCTTTGGTGATTATAGCATTTGTGTTTATCTCCAAAAAAGGAAGAAAATACGTCAAGGAATTAGACCTTAAAATTATGTACCTCATCCATGTAGTAAGAATTCCAGTGGAGTTTGGCCTATACGGGCTAGCATTGTACAAGACGATTCCTCTATTAATGACCTTTGAAGGGGTTAATTTTGATATAATAGCAGGTATAACGGCTCCTCTGATTATTTTGGGATACTTTTATAGAGATTGGTTCTCTGATTCTTTTGTGCTAATTTGGAATGTCGTATCACTAGGATTATTAATAAATATAGTCGTAAATGCTATTATATCAGTTCCATCACCGATTCAGATACAGGCATTTGATCAACCTAATGTGGCTATTTTACATTTCCCCTACCTATGGTTAGCAAGTTTTATTGTGCCAGTTGTTTTATTTTCTCACTTAGTATGTATTAAAAGAGCTTATGCTCATTGTAAATAATCACCCTAACAATCCGTTTACTCTTTATGAAATCGTTTAAAATCAGTTTAGTTGTTGTTTTATCTATGGTATTGTCCTCAGAGGGTTATACTCAAGGAAAGTATGGGAGAAATAGAAGGCCTGAAAAATTAGGAAAATTTGTTCAGTCGATGGATTATGTGGGGTGGTATTTTGCTCCTGGAATTACTCTCACTCCCAAAATGAATTTTATAGCCTACGATCCTGTTACTTCATTTTCAGATGAAACAAGTTCTTATTCCGCTACTAACCTTAAGCAGCAAAGTAAACTTGGATTTTATTTTGAGGTAGGTAGGTATCATTTACTTAGTACCAAAAAGCTAATTAGTTACATAGATTATGGAGTTGCTTACAAGATGTTGAAATCAGGTCAAACTTATGACCTATCAATAGACGGAGTTGAGTCGGGCTCTTTCGAACAAACCTACACAAGCCACGCTGGATTGGCTCACTTCAATGCGAATAATGTGTTGGGAATCAATAAGAATTTTTTCTTTCAGAATACGCTGGGAGTAAATGTAGATTATTCTTTTTCTCAGAAACTAGAGACTAATGATGGGACAGCTTTTACTGGAACTTATCAAAATGACCCTTCAAAATTATGGGCACAGCTTCATTACAAGTTTGGAATAGGAATACGAGTTGGAAAGCAACTGTACGCGATTCCCTCAGTTGAAATACCTGTACTTAACGGATGGAAATGGGAGGGAGGTCGTTCCACATTTGGAGCATTTAATTCTCGATATAGACCCGTTATTATTTCCGTGCGATTTGCATGGCTCACAACTCCAGACTGCCCTCGAGTATGGGACAATGACGATTCTACAAAAAATGGAGGAGGACTGTGATTAAATGAATAGTGTGAAAGAAAATACTAATCCTACAGATGATTTAGAAGTTCTCCTCGAAGAACTAATTGAATTATTGAATTCAAGAGACCAATATGCAGAGCTAGAAAAGATCATGCCTTCATCCATTCAAGCTTTAACAGAAGATGTATTAGTTAAAGCTAAATTTTATGAGGGAGATTTATTAATGACAGTCTTAGCAATAAAAAAAGAATTTTGGAAAAATCATCCAGCTTTTTGGAAAGAAGTTGTTGATGTTTTGGAGAGTCAATCTGATAAAATTATGAATCAACAAGTTTCTTTTGAGATGAAGGTAGATTGGTATGAGAAAATTGAGAGATTCAAAAAAACAGGAATCTAGAGTCTATTATTTTAGCCCAAGTATATCGGGTAGCTTTCTAATTAAAGCCATTTCCTTAAACTGATCTCTAGCTTCTTTAGCTGGACTTCCTAGGTATTTTTTCCCTTCTTCCATGTCATACATGATTCCAGCCTGACCAAGGGCAGTAGAGTTCTTTTTTAAGGTTAAGTTGGCAGGGATACCTACTTGTCCCCAAAGAGTCACGTTGTCCTCAATGGTAACACATCCGGCAATTCCCACTTGAGCAGCAAAGCGACAATTTTCACCTACTAAGGTATCATGTCCTATATGTACTTGAGCATCTAATTTAGTCCCTTTTCCAATTCGAGTTTCGGAAGTAACACCTCGATCAATGCTACAAGAAGCACCAATCTCTACCTCATCTTCTATTACTACCGAGCCACAGGAATGTAGTTTGTTGTGAGTGCCGTCTTTAGTTTGAAAATAAAAAGCATCTGCTCCTATGACTGTGTTTCCATGAATAATCACATTGTCTCCAATGGTTGTATGGCTGTAAATCACTACTCCAGGATAAATGACACAGTTCTTACCAATGGATACATTATCTCCTATGGTAACATTAGGAAAAATATGGCTGGATTCGTCTACAGTAGTATTTTTCCCGCTCCATTTAACGGTAGGATCAAAATGTTGAGTTAGCCGGTTAAAATCTCTAAATGGATTCTCAGAAATGATCAAGGCTTTTCCTGCAGGACAATCTACTTCTCTATCAATAAGAATAGTAGTAGCCTCAGAATTAAGAGCCTTTTCGTAATACTTCTCATTATCTACAAATACTAAATCACCTTTTTCAACCTTGTGAATTTCATTGATTCCTGTTACCAAAAAATCTGGATTTCCAATGAATTTACAATCGATTAGTTCGGCTATCGATATCAGGTTATGAGAGTATGGAAGTTTCATAGTATTAAGTGTTTTATGTGCCTACATGAGCTAGGGTACTTAAAGTTAGAAAAATTTGGAATTCTTTAGTTCAAAACTTTACCTCAATGTAGCACCTAATTTCGATTCTAATTCACTTTTAATTTTTGACATGATTTTTTCAATTTGTTTGTCAACAAGTGTTTTGTTTTCATCTCGGAATAAAAAACTAACGGCATATGATTTTTTAGAATCATCCAGATTTTTCCCTTCGTAAATATCAAAGAGTCCTATCTCTTTTAAAATTTTACGATCTACTCTAGAAGCAATTTCTTCGATTTGTTCAAATTTCACTCCTTTGTCAAGTAGGAGGGATAAATCTCTTCTTGAGGAAGGAAATTTAGGTAACTCTTTAAATTTGGTTTTATTCATTACCATTAATTCCAAGACAGAGTCCCAATTAATCTCGGCATAATATACAGGTTGTTTAATTCCGAAATGAGCCAATACTTTATTACTTACTTTTCCAAAATCGGCTACTTGTTTTTTATTGATAGAATAAGAAAGCCCTTCTGAAAGTAATTCATTTTTAGTAACAGAAGATTGGTGGTTTTTCAATATTCCTAATCTCTTAATGGTATTCAATACTTCTTTTTTGAGAGTGAAAAAGTCAACATTCTGTTGAGGTTGTTCCCAGTTTTCGGAGGTTTGTTTACCAGTAATAAATAAAGCAAGTACCTGCTTTTCTTCGTAACCTGATTCAAATTTGAAATAAGTTTTTCCAAATTCATACAATTTTAGGTCGCTGTTTTTACGGTTGATGTTGTAAGAAATAGCTTCCATTCCATTGAATAGCAAAGATTGTCTCATCGCATCCAGTTCACTGCTTAAAGGGTTTAGCATGTTTACTGCATAGGAGGAATTAATTTTCTTAGACTCGAACTCAGTTAAATA